CAATCATCATTTCGTCTTCATCATCAATTATCATTTCGTCCTTATCATCAATTATCATTTTGTCTGTCCTTATCATCGATTATTGTTTCATACATCTGTTCTCATCGTTTCATCTTTATCATTAATTATCATTTCATCCTCATTATCGATTTCATTTCATCATCATCATTTCGCCTCCTTTTTTTTTAGGTCTTAGTTTTGCGAACAAGGTATGACATTTTTCTTATCTTTTTTTTCAATTTTGTTTTCATATTTCATTTTTACTAACTATTTTTCTTCTTTTTATGGTTTATCTTTCATTAATTTATTCCCCTTTTCTTTCGTTTTCATTCACTTTCTTCTTTTTCATTATCGCTCCTTTTTCCTTTCATTCTCATGATCGTTTCATCCTTATTACCATTTTGTCCTCATTATTATTTCATCCTCATCAATCATCGTTTCATTTTCATCATCAATTATCATTTCGTCCTTATCATCAATCATCATTTTGTTCGTCCTTATCATCGATTATTGTTTCATATATCCATCCTCATCACCAATTATCATTTTGTTTTTATCATTAATTATCATTTCATCCTCATCATCGATTTCATTTCATCATCATCATTTCGCCTCCTTTTTTTTAGATCTCAGTTTTGCGAACAAGGTATGGTATTTTTTCTTATCTTTTTTTTTAATTTCATTTTCATATTTCATTTTTACTAACTATTTTTTTTCTTTTTATGGTTTATCTTTTGTTAATTTATTTCCTTTTCTTTTCGTTTTCATTCACTTTCTTCTTTTTCATTATCGCTCCTTTTTCCTTTCATTCTCATGATCGTTTTATCCTTATCACCATTTTGTCCTCATCGTTGTTTCATCCTCATCAATCATCATTTCGTCTTTATCATCAATTATCATTTCGTCTTCATCATCAATTATCATTTTGTCTTCATCATCAATTATCATTTTGTCCTTATCATCAATTATCGTTTTGTCTGTCCTTATCATTGATTATTGTTTCATCTATCCTCATTACCAATTATTGTTTCGTCTTCACCATCAATTATCATTTCGTTCTCATCATCAATTATTATTTCATCCTTATCATTTCGTTCTTATTATTGTTTTGTTTTTATCATCGTTTTATTCTTGTCATCTTTTTATTTCTCCTCATCATCTTTTTATCTTTTTATTCCTTTCTTATTATCTCTTCGTTTTTCATCATTCTTTCATTTTGTTCATCTCCCTTTTGTCATCCTTTCATTTTTTTGTCCCCTTCTTGTCATCTTTTCTTTTTTTTGCCCCTCCCATTATCTTTTTATTTTCATTTCTATTCCCTTTCATTTTGTCCCTATTTCCTTTTGTTTTTGATCCTGTTCCTTTTATTTTCGCATTCTTTCCCTCTTTTTTTCACTATCTTTCTTTTTTTTTACTATATCTTTTGTCTCCTATCATCTTCGTTATCTCCAATTATTTGTTTCTAATATTATTTCCATTATTTCTCTCTCTTATTATCATAATTGTTAGGCTTTTCTTTTTTGTATCATTATTATCATTACTAGTTATGTTAAAGATAAATAATTGTAAAAAATATTACCTTTGATAAACAGGGTTTAAAGGAATAAAGTCAGTTTAATATATAAATTTTGTTATTTTTTTTGTACAATAAATTTTAGCCAATTATTTTAATTCTTAACGATAATCTAAATTAAACCGCAACCAATAAAATTTATCACGTGATAGGGGGTGCGTTACAATGCAGGGTGCATTAAATAAATTTACTCTATTTATTATATATTTTTATAAAAAGATTATATATATATATAATAAAAATTTTATAATAAACTCAGATATTAAATTGTATAAAATTATATAAAATTTAAATTTATATACTTATTTGTATAAAGTTTTTAGTAAAATTAGATATATAAAGTTATATTAAAATTTTTGGAATTGGATAATATATTTCAATTAGTTTTTTTATTTTTTTTATTGTCTAAAACATATTCAATATAACAACAGGATTCCAAACTAGATATAAATGGGTCAGGGGTTGAGTTTGCTTATTGATTATATAAGATTTTTAAAAAGTTGCTTATTTCAGGGGTATTTTAAAATTTTATATCCTACATATCCCTGTATTTAACAAATCTACTAATTGGAATTTAATAAAATTTATATCATTGGATTCGTCTCAATGAGACGAATCTAATGGTATAAATCTTATTTTAATAGCATTAATATTGACCAAGATATCGTAAATTGAAAATTTTATTATACATTATATCTGACTTAAATAAAAGATGTTTGGGGTCCTATAGCAATTAGGGATGTTAATAGTTTGGTCTAGAGACTATATTTTGAGGCCTGACCTGGCCTAGATTTAAAAACAGTGTATCATATGCCAGCCCGACCTGGCCTGAAGTGAAAATACTGAAACTTGGGCCCAGCCTAAATCTGGATTGGTTTTTATTTCTTACATATAATATATATAAAAAAAAATAAAGAAGAAAGAAAATAGAATTAAAGTTTTATAATAAAAATATAGTGTTTGGATAAAAAAACAACTTATATATAAACTTAAAATAAAAAATATTGAATTTCAAGTCTGATCTGAAATTAGAAATTTGCAGTAAGATTAATTTTGGCTAGAATTAAGAAGATTTTGGCCAGAATTAAGAAAATGTGGGTTTTCCCAAAAAATATCTGCCAGCCTGACCCCGCCTGGATCTTTTTTTAATTAAAATTTACCAGCCTGAACCTGGCCCAGCATTTGGATCTGGGACAGGCTGATCTAGATCTGGGCTTAGATTGCAGGTCTCTAGTTTGGTCTGATCTGTCTTGATTCAGTCTTTATTAATCCTTAGTTTGGGATTAGATTAAGACTGGGACCGATCAGTCCTATAGGATCACAGTCTGGACTGCATTACTGCGGTCCTATAAAAAAATTTGTGCAAAAATTAAGTATAATTCCAGCCAAAATTTAAAATTTATAAAATTAAATTCACCAATAAAAATACATTACATGAAATGGACATGGTGATTATATCTATTTTTGGAGACACCTGCTTCACAAAATTGATTTTGGTAAGAACACAGTTGGCATCTTGTATAATTATAAGTTTCCTAAAATGGATATTTTATAATTACTGCAGAAATTATGTCAAATTTTGGCCAACTATAATTTTGGCAGTTTCGGAATTTCAAATTTGGCCGGAATTATGATATTTTGGCCAAAATTAGATTTAATTCTGGCCGGATAATTTTTGATGCCAAAATCTGAAACCAAAAATCAAATTATAATTTCGGAAAATCATTATGCAACAACATAATTAATTATAAGAATGAAAAATTGATCAGTCCTATTAGACCGATCGGTCCTAATCAGTCTGTTCTAGGACCAAACTGGTCTTATAACTGAATCATGGTCCAGTCAGTCCAGACTGAACTGTTAACATCCCTAATAACAACTATCTGCGTCATACCTTCTGTGATTTTCCTTTTTTGGTTATATAATACTGTATAACACTTTTTGGTCTGCACCAATGTTTCCTTATTTCTTAACCATTTGACGATTTCCGTTTCTCTAGTATGTCATTTATGCGCATTCTGTGCATTATAATTTTATTAAAGTATTAAAATTACATAAAAATTCTGTCTAATAAATTAGGTAAAAAAAGTTAAATATTGTATAAATATCAATTATTATATTTATTTATATGTAATAGTTATTTCCACAGTGACTCTGTGGAATTATATCACAGTTCCGTACCAAATATACTTATTTTAACTATTTTGATTAATAATAATAGACCTTTATTCTATTGCTTTTTAAATAAACTATCGAAAAAAATGAATTTAACTGGGTGCCGTAAGACAAAATATTTTATATAATTTAAATGATTGAATTTAAAAAGTTAGGACATAAATTGTTTATTCATAAGTTATTTATTTTTATTTTTATTACATATTTTTATTTTTATTATATAATTAATATAAATTAACTTTATATATAGGATGTAAGTTATAAATTATTTATTATTATTATGAATTAAATCATTTTCTTTTAACTAAAAATCATTTAACAATTTATTTAGATGGTAAATTATAAATTTATTTGATAATATGATATTAGAAGTAAATATATTATTTCTGTAGGAAAAGCAAAGAAAGCAGATTCTAATCAAATCTTTATAATATGCAAAAGTTTTCTTTAAGTTAAATGCTGCAAGACAGCTTTAAAATTTTCCAGAAATATCAAAATAAATCAAAATTAATTTAGTTTGTTTTATAATTATCTATCTTGTACTACGGTAATAGCACAATAATGAAAGTTATATATAAAGTTTTGTTATTTTTTATTGCAGTCTATAAAAATATCATAAAAAGAAATCGCTTTATACTAATAGTAAAAATATTTTTACTTTTATATAAAATAAAAAATTCCACTTGTACGGCATTTTTGATATATTTGAGCGTTTAAATCAAGCTAATCATATACTAATCATTTGCTTGACTGTAATTAATATATGGTTATTACTCTTGCAATCCACCTACTGCTGCTTGTTCAGATCTACCACACTACAAGAAATTGGAAAGCTGGAAATAATAATGCAAGAAGTGGATCTTCAAGCAGAAGTGCTTATAAGTGTTGTATACAGTATGCGGACAAGTTGGTCATAATGAAGCATATCATAAATATAAAGAAAAAACTTAGCCAAGTCTTCTAGTAAGACTAGTCTTACTAGCTTGAACATACCCATGCTTTTAATACAGAAACTTTCAAATTAACATAGCGTTGCTTTACTTGCATTATTCACGTTTTTTACATTTAATAATTTATTTTATTGCTGTTTAATATAATCTGTTCTCAGATTATAGTCTCAAATTTAATATGTGTCTGTGACTATATTTTGCAAGTGACGGTATAATTTAAGAAACTCTAATCTTTTTTTTTTATTTTACCTTTAGGCTATATGAAATGTATTTTAAATAAACAAGGTTATAATAAATCAAGTGCCTAGTTAGTTCAATTGGTTAGAACACCACACCTCATGACCTGAATCGTGGAAATGCAGGTTCAATTCCTGCACTAGGCTTTCTTTATGCAAATGGGAATTTTTTTTAAAAAAATTATGAACTTCTGAATCATGGTAGAATATAATATTTTTCAAAAATTAGCATTCATATTAAAGTGAAATTTAATATATTAAAATTTATAGCTTGTCTGAAATCCTTAGCTACTGTAGGAATCTTTTTTTTTTATTATTAAATTATTTAATAATATAAAGAATATATGTTTCTTTCTATTAGTGGATTATTTAACTCCTTAACTGTTAATTTTATTTGCTTTGGAAATTGTGTTATTCTTTTAATATTATTATACTATTAATCTTCCTTTTAATCTAGGTTGCAAAGCTTACACACTTCACTTTATGCTTACCGAAGAGCAAATATCAAAGTAGCGAGTAACTATTTTCATAACCAATTTTCAAGATGAAAGCATAATGTTACTATGGTGACAATATATGACTCATGAAATAAAATAACTTTTAGAGGCTGTAAGACATAAATAGTTCAAATTTTTTGTCAATTTCATATTTGAATAAATTATAAATAATAAAATGAATTATTTAAATTACAAACTAAGTAAATAATGCAAAGTTTACCTTTTTTGGTTTATCTCCGTATTCATTATCGCCTGGTTATTTAATTGGTACTCTATTGTAGACTCAATTTCATTTGCGATTCGTCAGGTGACTGTTGCTGCGCCTTATTTTTTTCCGGGTGGGAAGCAAAATTTTTCAGCTCCGCTATTATTGACTTTAGTAAAGCTTTGGTGGCAATTCTTACTATGAGACCTGTATATGTCAAAGTTATATTTAACGCAAAAACTGCTTTCTGTTAGCTTAGACCCTTGCCTTTACCATACATACTATACATGAACATTTCAAACGAATATATTGAGATACTTGGGCTATTTGTTCATCCAAGACCAGTATTCCAAAGTCCAGAAATTATTTTCAAGAATATTACATATATTACCAGTAACTTACTCCCTATCTTTGTTATGAAGCTTACAAAACATTTGTTCTATTGATGAAATGTTGTACAGGTACAGTACAAACAAAAATAAGTAAAAGGTCTATTAATAATTCTCTTTTAATTCAAACAATTCTTTCTTAAAAAGTAGCCTTCCTTTTAATTTATTTTTCAAGCGAAAAGGTTCCCATCGATATTATATTATGAAAAGATAACTAGTTCAAATTTAAATTTAAATTCAAAAAAAATAATTTTTGATATTTGAAGTTTTTAAGTAAATTTAAATCTCGAAACCTAGTGTTGATAATTTTTTATAATTTAAAAAAATAGGAACACAAATCAAGCATCATTATTAATTTATGAAGTTGACAAACTGACAGACACCTGCACCAGGACTAAATAAATAAATTGGGTTAAATCAATATACATTGAAAAGAAAATTCTAACGAATAAATCATTGCAATTTACATGTATTATTCAAATTTAATTGCTAACTTATTTATTTATTTATTTTCCTTAGATTTCTCTGTTACTTGTTTCTAAACTATTCAAGCTTCCTGAACTAAAGTCGTAGGAACTAAGGATTAGCTTTGGATAATAGAACTGATTATTAAGGTATAGTAGCTCATCTAGTTTTTTATTATTTTTCTATTTCTTTTTTGCTTTGAAATAATACTAACAAAAATTATTTTTTTTTTTATGTAATAGTTGATAATAAGAAACAAACTAGCATTGTGGCTTGTGAAACTAAAGAGATAAGTTGTAAATTAATATATTAAAATAACAATTGTTTAATATAACTAAGAATTAAAAGTGTCAGGCCACTTATTAGAGTATTTTGTAAAAAGGTTATAAGTATGCCATAATTGTATACCTAATAAAAACAATAATAATATAAACTGAGTGTGATGGTTGACTAAAATAACTATACATAATAAGTAATACTAGAAATTAATTAATAAAAATACACATTATTAATGGTAGGAACAGGGGGTAGGGTTAGGGGTAGAAGTTTCCTTATAGATACCCCACACCATTTACATAAAGATATATTATAACTAATGCTGTATAGACCACCAGAATGATCACATCCAACCTCCCCATATAATTTTCGTAATCTTTGTTCATATACCATCCTATCATTTACTGTGTAAGGAGGAGGCGGTGACATCCCACCATGTGTCATTGTTATTCCTAAAAAATTGAATATTGCCTATTATATTGATAATAGTTTGTGAAAGCTAAATAAGCGTGAGCCTACATACTGTACTTACCATTTCTTTGATTTTTAAACCTATTTATTCCGTTAACCGATCTTAACTTCTTCTTAGCTCTTGCATTAGAACTCATTTGTCTTATCATTTTGTCTATAAAATAAAGGCAAACATGTGAATATGGTATAAAGTATTTTTTCTCGTTTTATAAAACATACTTTTTTTTTGATGATTATCAATCATTGAAATAGTCTTTTTAATAATTGTAAATAATAATTATTGTCAATTATTGTACAATTATTTGAAAAATGTATTTTTATATAAAAATTTTGCAATGAGTCATGAAATTCTATAATGACTCATATGATAAATAATAAGGCAAATAATGTTTAATATTTTAATTATTTCTTGATTATTTTTTTGAGGTTCAAAACCCAGATCTTATATAAACATAATAGTATGACTCGAGTCTAAATATTGACTTCAATTTTTATTTGGATCAGAATGCTGGGTTAACTGACACTGCTGATCAATGACTCATTCTAAATCACAGGTGTGTTTATAATAGTTTGTTCGTGCAATAAAGGTCATATGCAGATATATGTTTAAGTCATATCTAACGTTTTATTATAAAGTGTATATTTTAAGTATGCTTTTCGTTAGAGTTAATTATGGTATATGAGACATTAAATCGTTGTAATGCCGTAATTATTTAATACCAAAAATGCAAAAATTACACAAAGAAATTAAAAAATTTTTTCTAGCCATGAATTTGATCTTGATGTTTTGTAAATATCTAAATGGTAAAATCCATATTTTATAATGTTGTGATTTCAATTAACGGTCCTATAATTTGGAAATATCATCAGTTTATTTTAAAGAAGTTCATCTAATATTATACTTGTTGCAAAAATAATGAAGATTCAACATTGCTTTTAAAACGTGTATTTCCGCCTGAATTCCTACCTTCCCTAGTGTGATCATAATTTATCATTACAGCCTGAAAGTTCCATTCCTTATCCCTTAAACTGGTTTTGTGGCAAATTTGCCACGAATTTTATTTTTTAATTAAAAATACTTTTAAGTTTTTTAAGTATTTTATTAAATAAAAATAAAACTTTTGTAATAAATTCTACGGTGTTTTTAGTTCAATTTGATTAATGATTTTTAGAAGGAAATGATCTACAAATTATTACAAATAGAAGCTAAATTCTTTTTAAATTGAAGTATCTTTTTTATCTACTGATCCTAGAAACATAAAATTACACCATGTGATACGTCTCAATAAGAAGAATATGATAAAATAAAAATCCATTTTTCCATAAACATTATGCAACATGATATTATTAACTATCTAAGAAATTTACCTACCAATTTTATGGATATAATTTTGTTACCATCAGATCCGTCTTAATGAGAGGAATCTAACAAACTAAATTTCATCCTTTTATGATTACAGGATCTTAAGATAACTTAAAAATTCAAACCCCTATAAAATTATTTTACATTTTAAGGGATAGAATAAAGAAGAAATGTTAGTAATATTTCTTCAAAAAAATACATACACTCATTACTACGGCTACATGTACTATGCAGTTACACACATACGATGCTCAACATATCACATGATTTCAACAAAAGCTTGACATGAGGTCTGAAATGTTACGTAAACTTCTTTACTTTGCCAGCACAGACCCTGTTAAAATCACCTAAGTTATTAATTTGATTTTTTGATCCGGAGGTCCTGTCTTTTGATAATGTTTAGCGATGTTTTGTTGGTCCCAAACATTATTCTTTTTCCTTAGTCAAATTTCTTACAAATAGCTCATTTGGTATGAATTTGCTTTTTGTAGGGTCGGTCACGATCAATCGTCGGTCGGTCATAAAGTTAAGGGCCTTTAACCGACCGACCGAGTTCTGATATTATTGATTTTATTTAATATTAATATCTCAGTGAAAGCAGTGAAAGAAAGATGTGAGTGACATCACTTTGCGCGTATTGAACATTAACAAGTTTTATTTAAATTCTTTGTAATTATAGTCTATAAAGCGCGCACTACTTTAATTTTTTATATACTGTATGTGATTTTACCCATTTTAATTCCTAATAGTCCTTTGCAGAAGTTCATAATTTTATAGTTTAATGAATACTTTAAGCAAACTTTTAGAGCAGTTAAAAAATTTAACAAAAAAATATTGTGTAATTTGTCGATCATTACTAACTAGATAGGTAACGGATATGGTGTGACAGACAGGCATCGGTATGCATGAAAGCCCTTTGGAAAGAAAAAAGTTTTGGCCAAATATCAAAATTGATATTCAAACTGCCTTTGTAAATTTGAAGAGCTGCTAAGATCATGTTCACTTAATGACTTTCAGGAATTATACGTTAATATATATTAAAAAATTTCTCTATTTGTGATTCTTTATTACGCCACAATTTTTTAAAATACATTAAGAGTCATTCTGATTGTTTCTGAGCTTAAATTCTACCATAAATCGAATAAATAACTTACTTCATTTGAATTTGTTAAAAAAATTGACTCTTGATTTATCTGATAAATATGATTCATAGATTTTACGCGGAATTGGAATAATCATTTTATAACAAGTTTATTAACTAGGAAACAAGAACAAAGAGTATTTTAATGCAATTCTTTGAACATCAATTAACGAATATCTCTATTTTAATTTAAACTTCTTTATTTAAAGTTTTCGGTGAAATGACTGAAACGTGCAAAATAATAATATTACGTAAAATGTACCATACTTAGAATATGAGTTGTAATACATTTATCGTAATGACACGTAATTTTGAATCAAAAAAAAGGAATAACATGCA